TTGTCCGTTTGTCCTAATTTGAAATGGGACATTAGGACAAGATGTCCGTTTGTCCCAATTGGAAATGGGACATTAGGACAAGATGTCCGTTTGTCCCAATTTGAAATGGGACATTAGGACAAATGTCCGTTTGTCCTAATTTGAAATGGGACATTAGGACAAGATGTCCGTTCGTCCCAATTTGAAATGGGACATTAGGACAAATGTCCGTTTGTCCCAAATCAATAAAAGGACGGACGAACACGAAATGTTCGTCCTCTGTCCGTCCGTTTGCCACCTTTACTCACAACTAATTCGAATTTAAACAGACAAATTATTTTAATTTAATGTACTTGTCATTGCAGTATTATTTCATAACCTTGTACTTACGCGCGCATAGTTTGTTCTAGACCATCGCCCCAAATAAACAGACCACGTCCTTTTGCAATCACAGCCGGATATAATGGTTCTTTGCGTCCACATATCTCCAAAATTTGCTGTTTCAGGGTGTCATCAACAGTATTTGGTATAACCGGAATGGATACAGTATTGTTGAATGAATAAAAACTCAAAATGTCAACAGTATGAATATGCATCGTAGTGTTTATTTTAGCTGCTCTCCATTCATTGAACCGGATTACGAATGACTCAAACAACCTGGAATAGATGGATTATATGCAATTAATTCAAATCATAACACATAAATTTTTGGCGAAAATTTACATGTTTCGGGCATCTGCTGAGGTTATTTCAGTGTCACCTTCGGATGGATAATCCATGTAAGCCAATTCATTACTTGGGAATGTTCTGAAATATTTGATATGAATTGATATTGTTGATATTTTTAAGTGTTTTTCAATGTTTAACTAATAACAATAGACGCGCCACGAACATTCAAATAGCCTTTGCCTTTGAAAAGGGCATGCACTTGCACATCGACTAATAGTCGACGACTATTCTTAACAACCAATACCAACGCAAATCAAAACAATTGATTTGTATTGCTGACATCACTGAGTCGGTGTCAGCATGTTATGGATATTTGCTGTTGTGCGTGAGTGAAAGAGATTCTCTCGCTCTCTCCGATGCGTTGCAATTTCGCAATGGTTGTTTGTTGTCACAGTTCTTCTGTGTTATTTTCCATGCGCTATCGTTTCAATGATATTGTTATTTCTCTCACTCGTTCATGGTGATGCTGTACGATTACGTTCTCTCTTTACTGCTAACAATTATTATGAACTCCTGGATACTCTTCGTCGGAAGAACTTGATATTTTTAACCATTCATGCAAACATACTCTACTCTTCCAAAAACCAATGTTTTAAATTGAAGTATTGGGAGCCGCCAAATGTACAAACGATTAGTTCTATTGATTATGTTTGCCTAGTACTTAAATTCAAATAATTTAATAATATTCACCAATTTGGACAAACATACTCGCCTTTTCTAACAACCAAAGTCAGAAAAACATACTCCTGTTTATTGGTATTCCAAACTAACAAAATACATACTCTACTTTAACTTTCAAGTTGAAAGAAACTTGCTCTCTTTTTCTTAAAACAAAATCACTGAAAAACATACTCGACTTTTTAAAAATATAAATCCAAAAAAAACATACACTACTCTCAATCCCACCCATAGATATGTACTTCTGGTAGTTTAGCGGTTTTCTATATCCAGAAAGTTTTTTACAAGTAGAAAACACAATATACAGTTTTTTACGTAGATTACATGCACGGCTTAAAAATTGTGTAAATATGCCAACCCTGTCTCTTATCAATTCTGCGGAATACATGTATAAAATGCGAAAATTTCCTTTCTCATTATTCACAAATCTAATATAAGTGATATCTGTATTCAGAAAATTGGTAGAGCAGGTCAAATTCTACAATTTTTAAGGAGACCATATTTCCTCGGCGGAAAACGATAAAAGAAAACACGCGGTTTTCGCGATATTCTGCGTAACCGATAAGAAATAATGAAATGTTTCATTGAAATAATTGTAGTACACAGCTTGAATTACAATTTCTCTGTAGACAAATATTGCTTATCTTTTATCAGTAATGTAAAATATTATAAGGAAAAACGCGTTAATATCGTGGATTTTTTTTTAATTTTCTGCGTAATTGATAAGAGATAAGCGATATATATCCTCAGCAAATTTGTAAGGGACCTAAAATATTACAACTTTACCGAAGACACCAAACAGTTATCTCTCATCAGTTACGGGAAAAAACACGATTTATTAAAATCATTTTTCGCGGAATTGATAAGAGATAAGGAGAAGGTGTCCTCAAAAACATTGTAGCACTTGATCTGCTCTACAACTTTGCTGAAGCTACATATCACTTATTTTTTATATAAATAATCATTACACTTTTTTTTACCCCTCGCACTTTTACCACGAGCTCGAGCTCGTCGTAGACTTCATCACAAGGCGATGAAGAGTGGTTTTTATTTTGATCAAAAATTTATTAGAAATCTCTTTATTATCAAAATTAATGACGAATAACCGAAGAATTTGGGCGAAAAATTCAAGTTTCAATGCAAATATTGTATTTTTGGGGTCATCCATTTTTCATTACCTCTCAGATTTTTATCGATGTGTGAAAAAATATTTGATGTTATGATGTGACAAAATATTTTCAATACTTTTGGCATTAGTTATGGCAGGAATAAAGTTGAACATCAATTTTCTATGCGATAGGTATATATTTTTCTAAAAATTTTGATGTTCTGACGAAAATCCATTTTACCTCTCGGGATAAGATTATACCAAAGAACATAAATTGACCCTTAATGTTAGTTTTTTCAACGTACGAAGCCAGTATTACTTTCAGCACTAGGGTGGTTTCGTCACTCGCGCTTGTTGTCGCCGGCCGTGATGTTTCACGCTTCAGATGACATTTTGTAAACGTATAGTTAGGCTTCTTTGGACCGATGACAAATGGCTATATACAATAAATACTATTCCGTTGAAACGTTATATGAAATATAAAGTGCAATGCAATATTTGAATTTATCGGAGCATGTACGTTGTACATTGTACAATATTTATTTCTTGTAACGGTAAAAAGTATTAGTAGAGAGATAGTTCCAAATTTTCCCAAAATATAACTGAAGTTTAACTTACTACGCACGTACGGCATCTAGGGGACAATCCAAATGGAAAGTAACGAATACAAATCATGAATGAATTGCATTGCCATGGATATCAGATAACCGAAAACTTTTTTTTTTCATTTATTCATTTACATTATAATAATATATGAACCGATGCGACCATTCATCCCCTACATACTGTTTGATACATATCCACATACACACTCATACACGTATACATACATGATAACAGTGTATCAAATACTATCATATAGTTTGAGGGTACGTTTTGCTTACGTGTTTGTTGATTGTATTATCGGCAAGTGGGCACGAGACCGATGTCGAAATCGATTCGCTGAACGACGCAATGTCACACACCTCTAGTATGGAACATAGATGTCTGAGCATAAAGCAGTGAAATTTGACTCAGCGCCGAAGTAGTGTGTGAATCCTATTTGTTGTCGTAACTACAATTTACGACGGGTTTATATTCTTGATGATTTACCCCGTTTTGCTATTTTAAATAATTATTATAAGCATAAAGGCAAAATAAACACATTTTGCCAGCTTCGAAATTGTACAGTTTATCCGTATTTGCCAATTTTCCCAGCACCCAGTGGAACCAGGTCGAAAAAATTGTAGTAATCTCGTGACAAGGAAAAAATGTATATTCAGTGTATATTTGTTTATTAGGGGTAAAAGCGAATTTGTGATAAAGAATTTTCTCAAAGTAATAGTCTTTACATTTGATTTAAACATTTTTTTGTCAATTATTTTAAGTTTGCTAATTTCATTCCAGTTCTTGGTATAATACTCCTATAACTGATACAATCATTTTTATTCTTGATTGTTTTCGAAAAAAAAGTTTTGTTGTAAGTGGCAAATTGATGAAGAGAAAATTGCAACAAAATAGGATTTATGTATTTTCAATACCCGTTCTTTGGACATAACATTTCATTCAATTGCACAAAGCTTTATTTTATCGATCCGCTTTGAAAATCGGTTTACGAGAACGAAATGAAACGAAAAATCACATTCAACCGCGTCGTCTACGTAGAGTAGTGGATGGTGTAAGTGTGTAAGTGAGGCTGTGTCGATTTATGTGCGTATGTGCGGTTTTCTAAAGTGGATGTCATTTTTCCTCTAGCACTTTTGCAATTTTTCAGCCAGTTCATTTGCACGTTGCTTGTTTAATAAAAAAATTGTTACATTTGAGATAATTTCAATTATAATGGAGAAAGATGAATGAATATATAGTTGGTGTTAGTGTAAATGGGAAAGTTGAGCTATTCTAATTGCATACAACACTAATTTTTGTATAGCTATTTCGATTTTCAAAACTATTTGTCAATTGAAAAAACTAAGATATAACTTTGCTTCGGTAAAATTCAACATAAATTGTTTGATAACATTTAGATTCTTGCTCTTACTTATCCTACAGAATATAAACAAAGTGTCGAACAGTAGGTTGAGATAAATAAAAATGTGCGAAAATGGGTGGTGTATTAAAAGTTATGTGTGAATCCTAGAGAATAAACAATTGGTCGTTTCGTTTGGACACATCGCTGACAAACGAGACTTTTCTCCAAGATCTCTACACTCATGCAGTGGAGGAAGTTTACAAGACTGAAAACAGCTACTGGAAATTCGCGTACGCGAAGAATGCTTTGCTGTGGCAGAAGAAAAGTGAGCAAAAATAAATATATTTGTTTCTATTATAAATGATATTGCTTCAAAGAATATAAATAAAATATACGTCAAACACTGAATATAATAATATTAGGGTTACATAAAAGATAAAAGAGATTTACTTTGGTTAGTTTTTTTTAAATTGCAATGATATGTAATGAATTATTTGAATTCGAAAACATTTGTTGCAGACATTCAAATTTATCGTTATATTGAGTGAAATTTCAAATCTTGAAGGATCATTGACAACATTACCGGACAAATTGGGAATATTTTTTTCTCTCTAAAACGTACGCACACGTAGGGATAACGTGAAAATTTAGCGACGGCGCACAAAAGACTTATGCATGTTACAATGGTTTCGTTTCGCGTATGTATCGGAGAATAATTCTCTTCGCCATTGAAGAATAGGCGAGGGATAAAATGAAGCATATATATTTGTGTGAAGCGCATGCGTTTCCAAAATATATGAAGCATAGCTCTTTTAGTTGTAGTAAAATTCATTTCTGGCCTACGTCTATAGTCCTTCGCAATGCTAATATTGCTGCCTAGGTTTAATGTATTTTCGTTTTTTGCATTTTTCACTTATTGCCTTTCAAAACCTATGGACATAAAAAACATGTTTTCCGCAAAACAGAAGCTTACCGATATTTTTTTGCGGCGATGCAATGTCACACGAACTGTTTTAACGGAAAATATTTTCTGTTCATGTCCATGAACTTGTGACCAGACAATTTTTTTAAATGTGAAAAATGTGAATATGTTCATTTATTGTCACCGCCAAGCGCTGGTTGAAAAATTTTCCTTTTTGCAGGAAAAATAATTCCAGACGGATTCATTAAAAAAACGATCTTTTGGGTTTAATAATCAAATAATCTGGTTTTTTGATAGCATAGTATATGGATTTCAATCAATTATTTAGGATTGATAAATGTTGGGCGTACTCCGTAATAGTTAATAGATAGGATTAATTATTATTGATCTTTTGTTATTATCCGGGCAACAAAAATGAAACGAAAAATGATTAACATATTTCAGATAAAGCAAAATCGACAGAATATTTACGAAATTTGTTCTGAACATTTTTTGAAAAAATCGAACATTTAAAAAAGTTCAATTTTCTGAAAAAAAAAAAAAATTTGAAATATCCTCGAAAAACATGAAAATGGCGAAATATTTATTTACCGCTAGAATGTATGGAAATAATGAATCTGGGACCATTATACCATAAGTATTGGGTTTTTCTCACAGTTCCATTTATTGTGCGTTCCAGTACATGGGGAAATACTATGTCTGTTCGATTTTTATGAAATTTTTTTTAACCAACCAAATTGAATATTTCTTGGGGGCACTAATTTCAAAATATCTTATTCCACACACTAGACATGTTTCTTTCTAAAAAAAAAAACAATTGCCTGATCACTATTCACAATAATGTTTTTGATTAAAAAAAACTTCTGTACAGCCCGAGAACCTATTGAAAATCTCAAAGGGGATGAAAAAATAATAACTATTTTGATAACAAATTGATTCGAAATGTTTTTAATATCAATATTTGATGAAAGTTTTGAGTGCAAATGTAGTATTTTTTTGAGTCATCGGGGTTTTATTATTATTATTCACTTATTTTCAATATTTTTCGCACCAATAAGGACAAAAATGAAGTTTTATATTAACAATGCAATAGGCAAAAATGTTGCTGTAAATTTCCGTGTCTTTTTCCCCGGGCTAAAATTACTCCTGGGAATATAAATTGGCCTTTGTCATTTATTGAATAAAATGCAAGAGTTCTTACTTTTCATTCTAGAACGATTTATCTTATCGCTAGTATAATAATACTAGTAGTATTGTCCATCCACCAGATGATGAGAGATGATTTTATTCTGTCCAAAAACTTGATAAATATCGATTTACAAACAAAAGTGATCAATAAAATATTTATGAAAGTTCTATGGCATTAGCATAGAATGTATTCACAAAAAATAAAATTAATAATTTATGTTTTCACGATAAAATAATAAAATCCCTTATATCAAAGATCGATTTCACCTGAAATAGAAGTGCTGAGGCATTTTGTTTATTACTTTTTCACAAGACCATGTCGTGTAAGAAAAGTATTGGGATCGCCTCAGATTTTTGGACACATTAAAAATCAGTTTTTTTCGATTTTCGAACTCCGAAAAACGTGAAATCTAGCATTATTTTAGGGTCGTAGAGTATGTTTGTGGTACGCTGTACGCAAAAAATACGGTAGAAAATTTGCTATGTTGGAATGTATAGAAAAGTCAGTATTGCAGAAAAAAAATCTACGTTTGAAACTGTAGAACTGAAATGAATCGTCTAGAAAAGTTCAGCTTACGAATGTATGGCATTTTATTTTTTTCATAAAACGGCGTATACAAAATGTTACATTTGTTAATAATTCGTTTCTTCATCGGTTTTTGCTAACAGGAAAATGGAAGATCAGTTCCTGATCTCACTGCAAGCCCTGGGCGAGCACCATCTGCGCCTATGCCAACCAATCAGAATGCAGCAATTAATCAGAGGCAAATAAGTGTGAAGGAGCCTGTTCTATTGCAAGGTGATTTTCGCAAGGTTTCTGGCATTAGTTCAGAAATTTTTCGCCAAATCGAAGCCGTCGAAAATGATCACGACTCAAGCACGGCTGCAGCGCTTGAGGTAAGCATTATTACTTGATTATTGTCATATGACAAATAATTTGATAAAACTTCTTTATTTTTAGGCGGTTGAACGACGTGGAGAAATGATTGTTAGAGTGTTAGAAGCCAGATGCATTGGTGGTCGGCAAGCGGTGGAATCTGCGCAAAAATTGCTGAGTAAAGGTGATGCAAGACATTCAGTTCAATTGGTAGAAATAGTTAAAAGACCTGGACAAACCTTGGGCTTATATATACGAGAAGGAAATGGTGCCGATCGATCAGATGGCGTTTTTATATCTCGAATAGCTTTAGAGTCAGCCGTATATAATAGCGGATGTCTTCGGGTATGTATTTATTATTCTGTTTGGTGTTAAACATTTAAAAAAAAACTTCAAAATTAAGTTTAACACCCAATATTATATGAGATCTTGATTTAAAAAAACAAAAACAAATACATTTTCAAAGCGAGTCAGTTTAGTTTGACGGAACTAATTTGTCCGTCCGTCCTAAGCATTTGTCCGTTGTCCGTTCTACATTTTCAAATGGACGACCAAAAAGCCGTAGCATATATAATTATAAACACATACTATGCCTGTCATAGTAATAGTGGTAATTTGTAAAATTACCAATAGATGTCGCACAAATCGCAATATCACTTGGAAGAAAGAAAATTTAAAATTTACGCCTGAATACAAACGGAATTCCGGCTAGTATACGCTCTCAGTCGATATTACTCCCAGTAAGTTGCATACCGACCGTTTTTTCTCGTAGATTTCAGACAAATATACGCCTGAAAGTAGATTTTCAGTTGAAGTTTTAGGCAAAATATCGACTGAGAGCGTATACCAGCCGAAATCCCGTCTATAGTCGGACGTAACGTTTAAACTGTGTACTATTGCTTTTGCAAAGTTTTGTTTTGTTACATTCGTAATGTTTTTGAAATCGGGTGCTCATATATAATTTCGTTTGATGATTAAGATAGACAATAATAAATATCTTAAATATAATTTGATCAAAATTATAGGTTGGAGATGAGATTTTAGCTGTTAACTTAGTAGATGTAACGCACATGTCACTAGACGATGTTGTGATAATAATGTCAATTCCAAGACGACTTGTACTTGCAATCCGGCAGCGTCGTGGTGCACGCAGCGGCTCTCCTGGACCCACTCTGTCGAGAAATGAACAAAAACCACCACCGGTTGTAGTGATCAAACGGGAGCTACGCGATGAAGATACAGACGAACTAGATCGAAGTACTCGTTCAAGATCAGCGCGAGAACGTCGAACAGGCGATGGGCGGGAAATGACTGAGTCGAGATCAAGACTTGGTCTCGGACTGAATAACTATAGCCCACAAAGTGAAAACTTAGATTTGTATTACAGCTCACGACAAAATATGATTAATGAACCAAACTGGAGCTATAAGCCCCCTCCACCTCCGTCTGTTATAACAGAACAGCCAAAAAGTCATACATTTGCTCCATCTCATGCATACTATCAAAATGCTGGCACATTGGAAAGTCTAGCGGAAAAAGTGCATGCATTCTATCCAGGTCCAAATCGCCGAATGTCAACTGGCACTGGAATGGGCAGCAGTCAATCGCACATACGATTTCCACGCAGTGGCTCAGATCAACATCTACCTCGAGTTGATTATTCAGACTTCTCATCACTTAACAGACACTCATTGCTGCGATCTAGTTTGAAAGCCGGCATGAATCCACCGGGTGGAACCCTCGGTAGATACGGACGATACGAAACTCAACCATCTACAAGATCCAAATTTGGTCCATCTCCAACGCAAGTCGCTTTGCGGTATGTATACATGTGTTTTCCTGAAATTGAAAAGAGAAAAATAGTAGTTTTCAATTTAAAGAGCATAAAATTCTGTTTCAAATTATGGCATTAATGTAAAGAATCGATTGATATTGACACGTCCCGAAGCAAGAAACTCATTGCAAAATCGAATAATGCTTACCTAAAAACACCCACTAAAGTACTCCTGCGCAGTTAACATCAACCAAATGGGGAGTCAACTTGCTGCTACGCAACTATCCCACATGATCGGGATAGCCATAACTAATGTTACATTTGTTTTTTTTTTTTTGTTTGCGTTGTGCTGATTAGACAGCATGATCAGCTGGCTGCTGTTCGTACTCGAACATTTCTACGTCATTATCCACGATGGCAACAGCAGCAGTGGCAACAATAGCGGCTGCTTCAACAGCTTCGCGCCAATACCTATTGATCGCCTCTGGTATCGGAAGTCCCAGTAATGTCCATAGTCCTGAACAATTAAACAAATGAATCTTCTTAAAAAATCATTCAATCGAAATTGCGCGTCAATTAGTCTTACCTTTCAGTAGAATGTTCTTAGCAGCCACGACGTCACGATGCCAAATCACAGAGCATTCATGGTTTAATTCCCAGTTTTTATAGTAACTTTTTACTTTTGGGAATAAACGCTCGTTTTCTTCCAATGCTTCTCCGTTCATGGCGCGTTGCAACTGTCGGAATATCGATAGATCCGTCTTGCCCAACTTTGGCACAATTTTTGTTGGCAGCAAAGTTTTGGCGTCGGGTACGCAACGGCGAGTGTATTTGGCTGTCGAGTAAGCGCAGATTCCATGTTTCATCATCTTGACTCGGAGCTTTATCTAGTTCAGCCAGTGTAACCCTTTTGGCGATGGCATCACTGGATACAGCTCACGATTTTCTCTGTCTGCGCGCTCCATTTCGACGAAATTTTTGGTCCATCGCGTTTCTTTGGCATTTCGCACCTTTTGACCTGTTTGCCAGTGAAATTGCTTGCTTGACATTACAAAGTTGGTCTGAAAAATAAATAAAAAAACAGGTATAGTTATTGAATTTTGGCACTTAAGCAGTGTTTTTTCCTCTCGATATTTTCTATTAAATACATACAACTTATTCAAATGTATAGAAAACTTATTTCTTTGCCAGTTTCGATGTTGTGTGTTACTGTGGTATTCCAACTTCGCACGCCTGTATCAACGCCCGAAAAGTTTTTGATTGTGCCATCCTTAATCTTCTGAACGATGCGAGATTTTTGGTCGATTTCTTTGTTATCTGTCTTCCTTTTGGCCGAGTACTGGTGTTTATGGAAAAGTCAAACTGCTTTTTGCCACGCACGAATCGTCGAATTTTTTGCATGTAAAGAAGAGGAAAGAATTGTATGGTTCTTTCTACTTACCATTTGTTTCTAAGAGAGTCATGTGAAGAAAAGGTAGGCTTTTGTCATGAATCCAAATTCGTTTTTCGAAAAATTGTGGATGAAATCCAAAATATTTTGGACGGTTTCTTTGCATCATCTCCTACGCCTGAGTTCCATTGGAACACTTTCAGTTTCAAGTACTGGGGTGGAATTCTAAGTCATTCCACCAAAATCGTTCGGAATTATTTTTTTCGTATATAAGCCATATTGGAGTGAAAGAGAGAGATTCCACTATTTTTCAGCATTCCACCGGAATTATTCCGATAACTCAAGGAAGAGTGGAATGTGTGAGAAATAATTCCGGTGGAACGCTGAAAAATAGTGGAATCTCTCTCTTTCACTCCAATATGGTCTTATGTACGAAAAAAATAATTCCGAATGATTTTGGTGGAATGACTTAGAATTCCAGCCCTGGGTGATGTGTTTGTTAGCATGCGTTGTTAAATTGGTGAATACGTTGTCTGCGTATTGATTCGTCAAATGCTTAAGGCCATTGCTGAAATGTTCGTTGTTGGGCCAATCGATACGATGATAGTCGTCAAGACCTTCGACAATTGCTTTGAATTCAGGATCGATGCGTGGCAGCTCTGCTCGTGGTCCTCGTGGCTTTTCTCCTCTTGGTTTATACCTTGACTTCGGTTTTGGTGGCTTATTGTTATGCCATAGCACCTGTTGAAAGCAGAATTTGATCTTTCTTTCTCCACTTTCACCAAAGAATGCGAAATCATTATTCTCGACGCCTATATTCGAAGGCCTTTTGCACCTCAAACAAGAATAGCAATGAGCCCAAGACGCAAATTGAAGTGGCTTGCAAACTCAGATCCGTTATTTTGCTCATCAATGCTTGCTGGAAATGTGGGCGAATGATTGTCTTTAGCGCACATTTGATCACCGTAATTTCGTCCTTCGTTTCTCCCTTCGCTGGTATGGATGGCTTGAAACGATTCGCCATTTTTCTGTTGAAAAAATACACACACATTCGATTTAGTTTAAAAATGAATAATATTGAAATTGTTAATTTTGGTATACACACTGATGCAACACACAAAAGTGACAAAAATCTTCGAATTGATAACAATGGCAGTGATTTTGAGAAGTGATTAACTGTTTCTCTTCATCTCTGAACAAGGGAACCAATTCATAATGGGTATTATACACGCAACAGAATTATGTACTGCAAAATTATTGTGAAATTCATTATTTTTTCCATAAAAAGTAATATTACTGTTCAAATGTTAAACGTTGAATAATTATTAGACTCGTTTAAATATATTTCACGTTAAAAATGGCTTATATTACGTGCTATGAAACAAAAATGAATTTCACAATAAGAATTCTTATTTAGTCTTAAGACATTAAAATGATTAAGTATACGCACACTCAAGTCACTTGAATTCAACAATGTGCCGGATCAAATTGATACAAAACGCACGTGTATCGAAAATAATATGAATTATAAGCGAAATCGTAGGAAAATTAAAACATTGAATTGTAATTCACACTGCTGTAGTTAAAGGTGTCAAACGGATGGACTGTCCGTCTTTTTAGCCCGTCCGTCCGTCCAGGGCTCTTGAAATTTTTTTGTCCGTCCGTCCGTCCGTTCAAAGCCGCTAGAAATTTTCTTGTCCGTCCGTCCGATCAACGCTGAACGGACGGACGGACGGACAAGAAAATTCCTGAGGATCCTGAACGGACGGACGGACGGACGGACAACAAAATTTCTGAGGTTCCTGAACGGACGGACAACAGAATTTCTGGCGGACGGACGGACGGACAAAAAATACAAAAAAAAATTTTTAGTAACTGATTTGTAATCAGCTTCCCATTTGAAACAGCTCAAACCTATTTTCACGTCAAAAATCAATGAAAATTTTTCGACGGACACGGATAAAACTTAATTTTTTGTCCGTCCGTCCATCCGTTCAGGACCATCAGAAATTTCATTTTCCGTCCGTTCAGCGTTGATCGGACGGACGGACGGACAAAATAATTTCTAGCGGCTCTGAACGGACGGGCGGACGGACAATGAAATTTCTGAGGGTCCTTAACGGACGGACGGACAAGGTGCTTGTCCGTTGACACCTTTAGCTGTAGTTTATATTGTAATAAAATGTACGATTGATTTGTTGACTTTAAGTTAAGACATCTATCTCTTATGTCTTATCAGTTGCGCGCAAATCGCGCACATAAAAAAGCAAATTTTATATAGAACTTTTTTTTCTTATCATTTTTCGCGCTTTTTGCGGAACTGATAAGAGATAAGAGATATTTGACTTTACTTCAGCAATGTTATAGAAGACCTCGAGTGCTACAACTTTGCCGAAGACACCAAGTTGTTATCTCTTATCAGTTCCGCGGAAACCGTGGAAAAACGCGAGGATTCGCCAAAAATGAATATACTCGCCTTTAACCATTTTTGAGTCGAAAGAAACTTACTCTTCTCTTTCATAACAAAGTCAGATGAACTTACTCTCCTCTCGATCTAGTCAATAGAATTGATGCTTTACATTAATGCCATAATTTGGATTTTATGCTCTTTAAATTGTAAACTACCAATTTTTATTTAAAGATATGAATGTACATACATAATTACCAATTAGTCAATTTAATTTTGGGCTTGTTTTCAAATATATTTAAATGATATATGTCACTTATGTGTATATATGTGTTGTGACTGTGGTTATTGCACGCGTATCTCTACCCTCGCACCGAATACAATAAATAGAATAAAATAAAATAAAACAAAAAATATATTTTATTAGACGAGCACGACCAACACTTGACTACTCAAGCGATACCGAAGCTACAATTCCTCCCCCACGATCTAGCTATTATTATCGTCCAACAATGAATAGCATACCAAGAGGTGGAGCGGCGACATTGGCAGCTGTGCCTGATTTAGCAAAATTCAATTCACTTCCAAGAGAAAGGCCCGGAGCTCGTCTTGGTCTGCGCCCCCGCTTGACTGAACGATTGGGAGATGAAAGTGATGGAAATATATCAGCTCCAGAACTTCCTGCACAGGTTCGAGATTTACGCAATCGAATGGTGGCTCCAAGCCCGTCAATATTTACATCGGACGAATATAGAGCATGGCTCCGACGTGCACCAAGTAGTTCGGCAATATATGAACAAATGCGAACATCGCGTGATATTCTCAATCAACAGAGGGCACATCGATTCTCTTGCAGTGCAGAGAATATTCACGATGCACTAAAAAACGTGAGTAGGACCTGAAGAAATATTTCAAAAGCTTTCGGTCAAAGCCAAAATAATTTATATTGATTTTTGTAAATGGACATTTACAGACCGAAAGTATTTATAGCAGTCGAACAGGTGGTATAACGAATACATTGGATCGTCATATTGGCGGATCACGTCCAATAACTGCTGCTCCGATACGTTCGCTATCCACACAACATATCGGGAGTGGACTCCCATTACGTTCACCAAGCATTCGTAGGATGAGGCAATTGCTTGAATTAAGTGGCACTCCCGCAAGTCCGGGTAGTGTAATTAGTGGTCATCAAAGTCCAGCTCCAACACCAAGTAATATAGATTTTCGTATTAATGATGAACAACTGCAGTTGCTATATACAGCTGTCACTTTATTAACATATTAATAATTTATTAATTTTTTAATAAAATGAATTTTTTATTAACGTTAATAAAATATAGTGAATTTTATTAACATATTAATAATTATTAGTATGGTAAATTTTCGGTAATTAATATGGTGTAGATTTTATTAAAATGTTAATAAAATGTGGTTATTAATATGTTGTCGATTTTATTAGAATTCTAATAAATTCGACAACATATTGGATTTTATCCGATTTTATCAACGGACGACATCATGTTCACATCAAAGTCTATTCAACACAGCGTTTAGATTAAGAGAATCATTTATCACGACAAAATCTCGATGAAAAATGAGTCTGGAAATATTTTACATGTTTTTTGTATGAAAAATCTTTTCTTCGCAATTTTTTTGAAAAGTTTCATACAAAAAAAATGTCGAATATCTCTAGACTCATTTTACATCGAGATTTTGTCGTCTGGCAAAAAGTGACATGAATTTTGTATGAAACTTTTCAAAAAAATTGCGAAGAAAAGATTTTTCATACAAAAAACATGTAAAATATTTCCAGACTCATTTTTCATCGAGATTTTGTCGTGATAAATGATTCTCTTAATCTAAACGCTGTGTTGAATAGACTTTGATGTGAACATGATGTCGTCCGTTGATAAAATCGGATAAAATCCAATATGTTGTCGATTTTATTAGAATTCTAATAAAATCGGCATATATTAATAACTACATTTTATTAAAATTCTAATGAAAAAATTGTCGATTTTATTAAAATTCTAATAAAATATCGTTATTAACATTTTAATAAAATCTACACCATATTAATAACCGAAAATTCACCATACTAATAATTATTAATTTGTTAATAAAATGCACTATATTTATTAACGTTAATAAATATGGTGTTTCAAAAATTTTATTAATTATTAAAATATGTTGTTTATTAACATATTAATAAAATACCGATTTTTGACAGCTGTATTGCTATATGCATATATTTGAATATATTCAAATATTATAATCTTCAAATTTTAATCTAACAGCACGCTCACATCGTCAAATTGATATCAATCCGGCAGAGTTTTCAAAATACAAGTTAGAAAAACCAGGTAATTTTTTTTAATATATGATCAATCTCGAAATACACACAACGAAATATGGAATATGTAAAGTACTAGCTGATGACACTTATGCGCGAGTTAATTTAAATATATATATTAATAAACGAACGAAAAATGTCACTACTTCCTAGTTACATTAGTCACTAAACGACCTTCAGATGTCAATCGTTTGACGGTTAATCAACATCAGATACTACTTTTTAAATGTCAAATTTGGGTGTGCATCTAAAAAATTCACATATTGAAAATGTTTTTTCTTTCTAATATTTCCGTAGTATTGGATATTGGTGGAGTTTCTGGGATGATTTGGATTCATTTATTGGCTGGTCGCGGTTTGCGTATGACCCCTGAAGGTTCTCAAATGACACCACAAAATACAATTAGAGATTTATATTGTGTGTTGGAATGTGATCGAGTTCACAAAGCAAGAACGGTTGTCCGGTCGGGAGACTTACAATCCGTAAGTTTATTTGTTGTAATTAAATGAACGCTTACAATTACAGAACGACCATCAAAGCAACAAAGTGAGGTTAATGGAGTATAATCGGCCGTCAACCGTCAGCCGTCATAGTGTAACTCCATTCACTTCATTGAAATATTTGAAAGATTACCAAATGTTTGTGATAATATTCGAGTTTCGAAGCACTCTAGTTTCATGCAAAAAGGAAAGATATACATTTCAGAAGCATTGCAAATTTGTAAATAATCTGCCACTGAACGGTTTTGGGTTGACTGACTTTATTAACATTGCGTTTCACTCTGTTGCATAAAAGTTTCTGGAGCACGTATGATTCTTTTTGAAGGTGTTCCGAATGTCCTTGAATTTCTTGCAACGCAGCCAGAAATCAAATATATTTGCGTCGATTCGGCCAACACAATGTCATTGCCATCATATTTCATTCCCTATTTTCATTTTGTAAAAAGAAACTGGACAATGTCGAAGGGAAGAATCGTGCTTTTTGACAGACATCAAAATTGCATAAAGCGATTGCTTAAGCGTAAAATACATTGGTTCTTATGACGACTAAATGTAAAGATTTTTAGAAGAACGAAACTAGTGAATTCATGAACTAACATATAATCACAAAGTATCTATCTAAATTGCATTGAAATGCACCCAAATAACGCCTGAAAGTAGGCGAAATTGTTAGTTTTAATCACTTCAACATGAATAAACATATAAAGCACACACACATTTTTGTGGCGTAAAAAGTCTCAAGCAATCGCTTCTTGCAAAATTGAATGTTTTCTATAATATTATTTCTCTATACCGCCATCGTTGGTGATACTAGTACCTTATCGCACGGTTCTGGTGAAAATTTTATTTATTGTTTGTGGAATTTCATATAAAATCACTTTTTCATTCGAAAACCCAATTTAGAATGAAAAATCACAGTTATTTTGACTTATTGCACGCGACATTTCCTTGAAAATTAGAGTGAAAAATTTGTAATCATCAGGTTTAAAATACGGCACGACCAATTTCAAATGTTTTGTCTTTGTTTGAACAAAATCGAATTGTACCTGAAAAAATCACAGCACAAAATAAACAAAAATCAAATATTTTCCTTCTTGTGTGTCTAATTTGACAAATATTTGAGTAAATATTGAGAAAAACAAGTAAAAATCAACATGTGTTGGAATTTGACATTTTCAAACATTTTTAGAGACACACGACCGGAAATGTGTCTCGAAAATATGTTTTCTTAACTAATTTTGCGAAAAAAGTTTTCGGAACCAACTCCTATACTTTCCCTTAACACTATGTGCACAGAAAAGCAATATTTGAAAATTATCGTGCCGTAATGGTACACACACTCAATATTATAGCGACATCTATTATTAAAATGGCTTGTAGTAAATGCATCTATAGCATTTCCCTGTAGTCGCGATGTTTCCTATTAAATTCCCTTGTAGTACTGACACATTCATGTTTGACACTTGTTAACTACATACCACAGGGGAATTTAATAGGTAACATCGCAACTACAGTGAAATGCTATGAATGTGTTTACTACAAGCTATTTTAATAATAGATGTCGCTATAATATTGAGTGTGCAGAAATTCTGCAATTTGGTGTTGCATGTTCCTGCGGTTTGGTATTGCTGTTACACATTTGTATATAGCAAACGACACAACTAATTTCAAATACTCCATTATATTTTATTTATTTATTTACATTTAACCATTATACAAGGTCCGTCTCAAAAGTTCCCGAACTTGGGATACAGGGCATTTTCTAGCCACCTATGTATCCGGACAGGCTTTCGAAAGATATGTCTTTTATTGACACTTCATCAAAATTTTCTGGCATTTGGACCAATAGAAGCTGAGTTATAGCGTCTGAAGTGACAGTACCTTTCATTCATCGGTCGTCACAAGAATTTTGAAAATTATAGCAAAAATCGTCCAGAGTTGCTATTCCCAGTTCTTGTGGATACATTCTCAAGAGTTTGGAAGCAAATGTTGACAACATTCTGTTGGCAATGTGGTTTTTTTCTTCGATTTTTTTTTGTAAAAATCGTAATTTTTGGAAATTTCTGCTTGTTGTCAATATTGACAGATATTTGGATGTTCCAAAATGGCTTGAATGTGTCATAGACGTTCCACAGACATCAATAAATAATGCTGAAAAGGATTTGCATACTTTGAAGTACGTCTGTTCATGTTCTGTATCTGTTAAAACACAACTATTTTGCAACACATTTAATTTTCCGACCGATGAATAAAAGGTGTCACTTCCGACGCAATAACACCGCTTCCATTGGCCCAAATGTCATAAAATTTGGATGAAGTGTTAATAAAGGACGTATCTTTCCAACGCCTGTCCGCATACATAGGTGGCGCCACTAGGAAATGCCTTGCATCCCAATTCAAGAATTTCCGAACGTTCGTTCGTTTGTTCAAAAAGTTTCCACGAACGATCCCGAACTTGGAACTGTTCGAAACCCAGTTAAAAGTTCGAACGTTCGGAAAATGAACGAACGAATGAACTATTTTCCAATGTTCGAACTTTTTACTTGAATTTTGGACGTTCGAACTTTTTTTCGAAAAAAATATAGACAAATCGTCTTCAAGTTCAAACGTACGAAATTCAAGTAAAAAGTTCGAACAGTGGAAAATAGTTCGTTCGTTCGTTCGTTTATTTTCCGAACGTTCGAACTTTTATTTCGGTATACACACTCTTAAATTCGTGAACTTTATGAAAACAAATAATTTTTGACCTTTCATTATGATATAATAATGCGTCAATCAAGAATTTTGGTCGAAAATAGTAAATTTTGGATAAATAAAAAAAAACTAAAATATATCTTTACAAGTGCATTTATGTAAATTAAGTTACGATATTGAATATGGTTAATGGGAGAAAATAGTCTTCCTGTTAATATTTCCATAGGATTTTGCTTTTTTTCTCTCGAAAAACCATATTTTTACTTCATACAAAAGCATGATTACTGCTCTATTTGAGTAAATCCACCTGTAAAAGATAGTTTAGACTATATACGAACAATTTTGAGCAATTTATATAAAATTCCAATCACGATCATCCAAGGATGAAGATAGTCTCCCGTACATTTGAAACATAATTTTGACGTCTACATTTCCACCATATAGATTTGCATTTGAGACTTCAAGTCTCAATGCAAAAATAGACGGAGAGAGTGGAGACGCCAAAATGATGTAAAAACTATTTTCCTCCTTTTACTATTTTTGACCCAAATTCTTGATTGGCGCATTATTATATCAAAATAAAAGGTTGAAAATTGTTTGTTTTCATAAAATTCACGAATTTTAGATTGTGTATAACTTTTTCATCAAAATGACCTAAGATATTGTATAAAAAACTGAATTTTTCAAGTGTTTCCATAATTTGATTTCTGGTTGTTTATTTTGTGCTTACAATCTTTTTCACTGTCATGTTCAAGAATGTCCTGCATAAGTCGAAATAAATGTGATTTTTTATTCTAAATTTGAATGAAAAAGTGAATTTCTGTAAAATCGACAAACAATAAATAAAATCTTCATCATTCAATATTATTATGTGATAACTTATCACTGATAAGATATTAGTATATAAAATGGTAATAGGTGATATAAAAACATTCAATTTATGACATACAGGTGAGTCTTGATAGTTTCAACCCTCGGTAATGAAACGCCGCGGTAAAGGAAACCGATAGATTCCGTACATTGTAGTCCGTATAGTTTCGACTATGGGCCACTCGTTAATTTCAACTTGCATGTTTTTTCAAGCAAACTATTGTGGTTGTTGTTCAGTTCACAGCTTGCTTATTGACAAATCGTTTCGATCGTTTCTACAATTTTTATTTCGTTTTAAATGTGTTAAAGATGTCCAAAAGAAAGAAAACTCGGTAGTGTCGATGATCTTGAGTATGGATCCAAGTTCGAAGGTGATATGGATTTGAATGAAAATCAATTTGTTGAGATTTTCAATAATCGCAATCAGAAAATTGAAGAGAAATATCGGTGGCCAAATGCAAGAGTCCCATACAAGTTTTCTTCAAATTATACTGCTGAGGAAAATGCATGGATTGTTCGAGCGATGGGAGAGATCGAAAGAGTTTCATGTGTACGATTTGTACGACGTACAAATGAAACGGATTACGTGCAATTAGAAGCAGAAAATGATGGATGCTATTCGGCAGTTGGTCGTTAAGGTGGAGAACAACGACTCAATTTGAAAAAACAGTCCAACTTGGAATCGGATGCTTTCGGATTGGAGTAATAATACATGAACTTCTTCATAATCTTGGATTCTACCATATGCAAAGTGTGTCCGAACGTGATAATTATGTCAAGATCCATTGGGAAAATAATAAACCGAACAAAACGCATAATTTCAAAAGGTATAACACATCATTTTTTGAAGTCTTCAACCTACCCTACGACTTCAGTAGCATAATGCATTACGGGCCGTACGCATTTGCTAGGGATATGGATAGTCCGACTATTACAACAATTATCAACGGCGGGACAGTTGATGACATGGGACAACGGAAAACTATGTCGTCAATCGATATTATACAGCTAAATACGTTCCACCATTGCGAAGCCGCGAAGAAAAATCATGGAATACAACTACATGCACAGATTCTTTCAGTGATGCTTATCACCATTCACTCTATTTTATTGTTCAAAATGTATGAATAGATTCGCTACAATGTTCATGGCTTCTTTTTCTCTTGCCAAAAAAGAGATCAACCGAGGACGGTCGATTTTTCTCACATGGGAGAGTTAACATGTTACGTCTTATCTTAATTAATGTACCGGAACTAATGAACTAATAACATGCAGTTGCATTTCCGAAACTAATTGTACATTTGCAATTTTCATATTTTATTTCTGGAACAAATTACAAAATCAAATTTGCACTTTTAATTAAATATTACTTGACATTCAATTCTTTTTTTTAATTAATCACATTTCATATTTTGTTCAATGATTTGAATAAGAAGCAGTTCAGTTGTATGTTTGAATTTAATAAATGCACATAGTGCAGTTAAAATTATCATCACTGGCTCATTTTGTTTAAATGAACACAACGTTCATTAGCTAGCGCCGTACCGTCCATACAAGCATCTGGATTTTTCTGCGCCCCACCTGGAATTTTCTAAATTTTGTGAATTTTTCACGCAACGACTCTGAATCAAATGCATAAAACGATTGAAATTTATCCAACAAGTACAAAAATGATTCACTGCAATATCAAACAAAGATCATGTTTTATTCGTAATTTTTATCGCAATAATTCTATTGCCACATGGCAATTTTTCCCACGGTTTCCTGCTTCTAGTATAAAAGTAATTTGTGGTATAGCTGTCACATCGTAATACATCGGTACATTGAAAAAAATATGTTAGTTAAATGAACGCATGAGAATATTCTTGACCATCGAAAAAAAGTTCGTTCCGAAATGCCTCATACATTCGTATAGCAACAAAAGAGACTCAAGAAAAAAGTGAGCATAAAAGTGTCCCATGATTATGTGGTATAGGTCCTAGAATACAAATCCGTTGAAATTTCGGCTGATCCATGGATTCTCAGGATTTGGCCAGATTCCAGTGCTTCCTTTTTTATGTGCATCTGTAAACACATTCTACCTATGTTTTTTTATGAAAGAAATTGAATTGCTAGAATCAGGTCGAATCCTGAGAATCCATGGATCAGCCCAAATTCCATCGGATTTGTATTCTAGGCCGTCAAACCAGCCGGGTATTTACACTCCTTTCGGGAGTGACATCACGGTCCGTTTTGCCGATTTCCTTGTGTACATTTGGCCATAGAAGCCAATGCAATACCAGCGGCGCTCCGAGGTTTTCATACAAACTTCCCATGTTGACGGTCGCAATACAGCCGTAAATCGAAAAAAAAGTTTAAATTTTTTTTCGATTTTGATACAGTATATATTGTGCCCAATCCATTGGTGCTATCGCCACATCGAAATTCGCATTCCTTGTTATCAAAATTATCATAAAAAAACCTCAAGTCAAAATGCACAACTAAAACGCCTCATACATTTGTATTGCATAAAAGAGTCCCATGAATAAAGTGAGAATATAATCATGGGACACTTTTATGCTCACTTTTTTCTTGAGTCTCTTTTGTTGCTATGTATGAGGCATTTCGGAACGAACTTTTTTGGTAGGTCAAGAATATTCTCATGCGTTCAAATGTCAATGTCATCGTCATACATAAATGACTTTTGTAAAAAGTAACTTGTAATGTACCTACTAAATAGGCTATGTAATAGAAAGCTTTGAAGTATTATGGAAGTAGTTTTGAATTAATTTGTAGAGTGATTTGCCACTCGCACCTGTATGTCAAAAAACGCGAATTTTGTCCAGGTTCTTTAAAAAAAAACCGTTTGCATCGCTTAATATTGCCGTTAAAAATTAATATGACCTCTCTCTCTGTCGTTAAGGTATTCGATTGGGACGAATCATTTGAATTGGACTTAGTGTCAAATAAACAACTGGATGTTTTAGTCTATTCATGGGATCCACAACATAGGCATAAACTATGCTATCGAGGGGCTGTTTCATTGTCAACCTTACTCAGGCAATCGCCACTTCATCAGCTAGCATTAAAGGTATTGGATTAATTTATATGTTAGAGATCTACCATGAGGTTGCCCTATAGGGTGCAATGAAATTTCCCGCGTACAGCGCCCGAGTACTCCGTAAATGAATCAATGTGAAAAACGACAATCACCAATATATGTTCACAAACATCAAATTGTTTATGCAATTTTTCGTGCGCTTATGCATAATTTATTAGTAGCGCCAAAAGGGTACAGGGTACAACGCTACAACCCTACGACCCTAAAATAACTTTAGATTTCGCGTTTTTCAGAGTTCGAAAATCGAAAAAAACTGATTTTTATTGGATCCCGATACTTTTCTTACACGACATGGTCGTATGGAAAAGTAATTTTTTTTATACAACTGTTTATCGAATCTATGGGCGAGATTGAGATTTGTATGTTTTTTTCGGATTTATATTTTTAAAAAGTCGAGTATGTTTTTCAGTGATTTTGTTTAAAGAAAAAGAGAGCATCAATTGTATTGATTTGCGTTGGTATTGGTTGTCTCCACTGAGTCAGTGCCATCGTGTTATGAATATTTGCTGTTATGCGCGTGCGAAAGATATTCTCTCACTCTCTCCGATGCGTTGCGATTTCGCAATGTTTGTTTGTTGTCGCATTTCTTCCGTGTTATTTTCCATGCGCTATTGTTTCAGTGATATTGTCATTTCACTCTTATACATTGATTTGTATGCTGTGCGCTCATGCTTATGCTACAATAAGCGGAGCTCGATTACGTCCTCTCTCTAATGCTGACATTTATGGACTCCTGAATCAGGGTTGGCATGTAAAAAACTCAAGCATGTAATTTACATTTCGTTTACGTAAATTACATGATGTAAATTACATGAAAATTTCGGAATTCTCTACGTAAATTGTGTAAAAAATGTAAAAAACCAAATTGGATTTTGGATATAATATAAAAAAGTTAGAATTTATTTCAGACTTTCTCGGAAATTTTCATTTCTAATGCAAAAGATTAACATAAACATAACTGATGAATCAAAAATGAATGAAAATTGTGTAGTATGTATCGTTGTCGCAGGTTTGGTTTCATTTCTCGTTTACAATATTCCAATCGTCGATATCGTCGTCTTCATATAATTCATCAATCATCATTCAATCGCAGCGTAAAATAAATGTTGACCAGTTTCTTTGATGTATCAACCGAGAGCCTGTATCTGATGTCATTATGAACATAGCCCCAATGGGAGAAAAGCTGTTCTAGTTGCGCTGTTGATGCAGGGATTTTCAGAAATTTCATCGCAAACGAGCTGTTCAAGAATGTAGTTTTTCACTTCGTTTTGCTGTTCTTGATTCAATTTTTAACTTCGATATACTGGATGCAAATAATTTGCCGTCATCGCAACAATGTTTAACACTTTACTTTCCTCGCAACGATAGTCCAAAAAACTACACAAATCTGGACAACAATTAAATTTAACATTTTTCAACGACATCTGCACTGCAGATTCTGCAGCTGAGATATCGCTTCTTTGACAGTAGTTTGTGAGTTCAGCCACCGGATCGAGCAATCCAAGCAATTTTTTAATTGATGGGACAAAATTTGCATTGAACAAAAGTGCTGAAGCTTTTCCCTTCTTTTGCATACTGTATACATTATCCGTCAAAACCGAAGTAATTGTGGCATCATACCGTTCTTTGGCTATAGCGATCGACTTTTCCACCGCCTCAAATAAATTCTCTCCCGTATGAATTCACATGTTACATGTATATGTTATATAAAAATACCTAGTTTTGTTAATTTAGCAGTTTTTTACATCCAAGAGGTTTTTTACACGTAAAAAACGTAATTTACAGTTTTTTACGTAAATTACATGCGCGACTTAAAAATTGCGTAAATATGCCAACCCAGCTCCTGATACTCTTCGTCGAAAGAACTTAATATTTTTAACCATTTATGCAAACATACTCTACTTTTTCAACTAAAATCAATGTGTTGAATTAAAGGATTGGGAACCGCCAATCGTACAAACGATTAGTTCTATTGATTATAATTATGTTTGCCTAATATTTAAAATTCGAATAAATTAATAATATTCACCAATTTGATATTCGTGAAAATCCATATTGGTGACTGGTGTGTTCCATATCATATCCGCTGCGGATTTCTCGGGCGCTGTATGTATTTTTAGAGCTCGTCCATGAGATCTATAAGAGACTCTGATTTCAAGAAGTGTGTTCATTTTTTATATGATTTTATTTATATATCTCGCTTAAGTTTTCAAAAAATATAACTTGCCAATTAATGCATTACAATAATAATCGCGAATTTTCCAAAAAATTAAGTGGGAATTGGATGTTTATATAATATGACACTTCTTCATCACTTTATTAGTGAGATGTAAAACGATTTAACAAAATCAATGCGCAAAATGTGAGAAAAAACATTCAGTTTGCTAGAAAAATGCTAAAAAGTCATCTTTGTACTTTTTTTCCGAGTATATTTGAATACTAGCCGACACGGTAAGTTTTTTAACAGGGGCACAAAATCAGCTCCCAGGAGAATAGCTTAACGTTACATGAATTTTTATTAAAATCGAAAAATCAAAATTAAAACTAAAATGCTGCTGCGTTCTACTGCATCTCAACCACGTATGTATTGAACCCGTCGAATTGTATTCGGAGCCAACGATCCAGTACAAATATATCGGGAGTGTATCCATTGAACAGCTCAAAAAGACCAGAAATCACGGACAACAATAACAACATTTCCTGTTTCATTTTTACATGCCAATAAAAATATTACCGTATAAGATATTACCGTAAATCGTATAAGATGCATTTTGCAGCCACTGCCGATTTGACGCGTTGCTCTGTTATAAATGAGCCTTCGCCTCTTCGAAAGTAAGATGGTTTAGATCTCCGACGTATGTGGCCTCATCTTCTTCTTGTGCAGCAGCATTCTCCGTTTCAGCATTTGATTCAATGATTGATCGCCAGTTTTTCCGGTATACTTTAACCTTGGGCACCAACTGATTGCTCAGTTGTTTTTCAACTTGTTGTGTTCATTTGGATTTTCTGCTGCATTTCCAACCACCTCATCTGCTTCACGTTTTGGTCGCAATTTCTCACGTTCCGATTTCAAGCCGGCAACAACGGATCAATTGTGTCACAATGATTGGTGGCAATCCAACTGTGGTTCACAATTGCGGCACACTTTGAATCGATGACTTCGTGTGCTTCGTGGAAATCGCTGCAAGCATCTTGCACATGTTTGCGTTGTGTATGGTTTTGCCACGTATCGGACGACACAATTGCCTCGTTTGCCAATGAACTTCACCAATCTGTGAGTTCCCGGAACATGCTTCTTTATGCGAATTGGCGAATCTGGTGAAATCTCTACATAAAGAAAATCATTAGCTTACGATTCGTCAATTGAATGACCATGTTATCATTAGCTCGAGTTGATTGAATGTATTTGTCCATGCGAAACCGAGCATATTGGCGAGTGGCATACACAGCCATACCTTTTTGTAGCGTTCTCAAGCGATGACGAATGTACGACATGTACTGCGAACCTCGCCACTTGGTGTGCTTTCAAATCGTCTTGCTTAATCTTCTTCTGTCAAATGTTTTCCTTTGCGATTTCGAATCGGCTGTTCAGCCTCCCAGTGATAGCGTTTGCTGCTGATTTTGATGTTTTCCAATAGGCGAAACAAACAAAGCATTGTTTAAATAAACAAAATGACTCGAGTGCACACTGCACACTGAACAAACACCACATTATTTTATATTAAATACGCAAAATACAGAATACAAATCATACCTCTTTCCCTGTGGTGATCTTTTGGATTTTTTTAAAATCCCAAATACATAAAAAAATCCCAATTCTAGATTCTGGTTAGTGTTGGCCGTCGAACATTTTCGAACGCTTGTTCGTTCGTTTGACATAATAAAAAAGGATTGTTTCGTTCGTTGGACATTTATTTTCAATTATTATTGATTATTATACTTATTATTACTTGTATTACAAGTCTTGTAACAACACGGTAATAACTTGGCCAAATTGAAGCCGATCCAGAAGTTTTTGACCATCAATTGCATCAACTCTCAAAGGTCTTCAAAACTGCATTTCAACTTTTTAAATCAAACGGCTTGGAAAAAAGTTTTATTTCGTGACGTTTTTACCGTCCATAGGCCGGCCAACTTTGATGTTTAAAATGGACGATATAATTCATTTTTATTGTTCTTTCCACCAATGTATAACATTTGAGACGAAAAGGTATGAAAAATATAGAAAGCAAACAACTTGTAGGTGTACAGACAATTTTGTGAGTCACTACTGTATGTATATATATAACATATATAACACAGTGCAACAATTTTAAAAAAAAAGTCAGACAACCGGGACTTGGCATATCAGAGGTACTACCATAGGTGAAGAAAATCCTAGCTGGGTTTTTCGTCACTCGAGAAATTTTCGAAAAATATAATTTTGATATAAAAATTTATTTTTTTTATTACTTTTTTGAAAAAAGAACGAACAAAATTTTTGTTCGTCTTTTTGAAAAATGTCCTTTTGACAATATTTGTCCGTCCTTCCTGAAAATTTGTCTGCTCGTTCGTCCTTTTCGAGAAAACGGACGAACTATAGCCAACTGAATAAGACTTTTGTTGGTATTTTCCTTTCAATGCTGCGATGGAAATTATTCAATCAGCTATTTTAGATTTAGATGAACTGAATTTTTCTAAGTCCGAAAAATAAAACACTTTTATTTATTATTTTTATTTCACACTTTAATTTTATTCCAATTGTTTTGCGGGAGAAGTTTATTCAAGCAGATCTAAGTAAAACTGAACAAATTACATAGGATGCACCGGTTATTTATAGTGCAAATCCGATGACAGAGATAGCAACAATAACATTAAGAAGCTAACACCCTTCTCGCTCACCCTTATAATTGTTTACGGAAATGCAGCGAGAGTGGTTTCCGATGAAACCTGTTGTCTATCTAACACGTGTAAAACTATGGCTCACGACATGGTCTGACGTGAAAGAGATACGGCGGGTCCACAAGAGCAATGCTGCAAAGCATGCATCAATGCATACTCACCCCCTCAATTCGCGAGCGATATTATGCCTCGTTTACATAACCACCCTTCCGTTCACGTGAAACGCTGAATATACAGACTCCTCACGAGCGTCGCGCGAGAAAGAGACGATATATATGGTGACCAAACCAACGCGACACCCGCACCGCTCTAACACATCAGCCAAATACGAAAAGACGCTAAATGTTCAATGTTGTGGATGGGCGCATTTGCATTACCCTTTACAATAAATTAAGGAAATGCAAAGCCGATTTCACTACAGAACCAAATCTTTTTGTTCGTCTTCCTTCCGAAGAAGGACGAACCAATTTTTTTGTCGTTCTCGTTCAGAAAACGGACAGGAGAGCAATAGGCATTCGGACTGGACCCAACTCGATTTTAATTGATTGAACGTCAAAAAACCAATCACAATAATTTATGACTATTGTCAAATTTCGTTTCGTTTAAAGATGTAATAGCAACATTTACTGAAGAAAAACGAGACGTAGAAATATTCAAAAAAACCAAAAAAGTAAAAACTGTTTTTGATATCAGGGTCTCATATATTGATTGATACACGTTAAAAAATACTGATAAAACTTATTTCGAATATTAGGTGGAGCCAAGGGGCACAATTTATTTACGTTTGAGATACACAGATCCACATACACTATATCGTAGGAGAGGTTTACCAAGCCTGCGTGCTGGATATCCACAGCTTTTTGGCGCTGACCTTGAAGCAGTAGTGACCAGAGAGGCAAAAATGATTCCAGGTCAAGCTCCTGTTCCAATTGTTCTTCGTCGGTGCGTTGAGGAAATTGAGCGGCGAGGGCTTGATATAATTGGCTTATATCGCCTTTGTGGATCAGCCACCAAAAAAAGATTATTAAGGTAAATTTGTTTAAGATTTTTTTAATTGAAAGATATGAAAATAATAACAATTGAAATGAAGCTATGAAAAAATTTTCACAATGGGGGTCTAGAACTGTGTAAATGGATGTCGGAAAAAATTTGAAGATCCAAAAAGGTCCTCACTTTTGAAATTCAATCATATGTATTGTAAACCGAGTTTTGCGGCCAAATGGGGGGTCAAAATTTGAAAATGTCCTCTGAGAAAAGAAGGGCGTTGACCTCAGACCCGTGCATTGATTTTCTAACATTATTCGTGCATTGGGTGCCTGACTGCCCATGATGCATTTTAAATGGAAATGTCAGTTTTTTCTTCATTTTTTATTTTTAAATCTCTTATGCATACAACCACTTTTACACTTTGATTTTTTTCATCTTAATAACGTTATTAAGATTCAGCATAATAATAACATAATATGTTATGCGTTATATCGGATGTTAGCTCAATAAATCCTAAGATTCGGTTGTAACAATATTTTATTAAGATGCAATCTTAATAACGCTTTTTTCGTGCATTTTTAGCACTGCATGGAATATAGGCTACTGTAGTGATTTTTTTTTTACGAGAAATTTTTAAGAATCTTCAGGCCATTTTTTTGGACCGTAAACTAATTCATTTTAATATCCATATTTTTTATTTCAAATGGAGCAATTACGCCTAATTGCAAAAATGAAATAATATCATGTAAACGTAATTCAATTATGGAATAACTCAAAAAAAAAATTTGAAACTTTTTTCGTTGCCAATGTGAAATAATGTATGATGACCGGCGGCGTGCAAAGGAAATTTGCCGCCCGAAGCAAATTGCCGCCCCAAAATCAAAATGCCGCCCCAACATCAAAATTTGAAGAGCAAAAGAAAAGGTCATCACTTTTAAAAATCAATTCTATCTAGTGTAAACTCCAATTTTGCAAAGAAGCCGCCCAAAGTCTAAATTTGAAGAACAAAAAAAAATAAGGTCATCACTTTTAAATAGGGTTTACAAACGTTTCGACAAATACCGCAAACGGTGTTATAAAAACGTTATTTTTCTCTAGTGTTTTTTTGACAGTCCAAAATACCGCAGAAATAACGAAAAAAACGTTTCTGGGCGTTATATAACGGCTCTGTAAAAAAACGTTTTTAGCAAACACTGAAAAAAATAACGCGTTTTTAAACCCTACTTTTAAAACTCAATTCTATCTAGTGCAAACTCCAATTTTACCAATTTTGCCGCCCTCAAAAAAATGCCGCCCGAAACAATTGCTTCGCCAGCGTCGTGCTTTGCACGCTACCGATGATGACCGTTCACATTGAACGTACATTAAAACAATAATTGAAGAATACAATTTTATCATATAATTTTATTTAAATTATTGTTAACAATATTATAATGATTTATAACAAAAACTTATGAAACAGACATTTCCAACACCACCCAGTTAACTTTGTCGTCTTCAGAAAATATTACGTCCGTTGAACAAAAAGTATACTATCATTAAATCTACATTCCATGTAGTGCTTACGATAATTATTTGATGTGAAACATCAAATTAATTAAATCCCTTGAATTTACAAGCTTCAAGAACGCAGAGCGGAGCGAAGCGACGATCTGC